GATTATTGTAATTTTTTTGAGCATTTATGAAGCCTAACACACTTGCAGACTAATACTGGACGATGTCCTGAAGGTAATTGTAGAAATGTGAAATATTGATCTTTTCTTTGCCAAAGCAAATGGCTTCTACTCCCCCCAATCTACTTCTCCCTCAGCCCAATATTATCAAAACCGGACTAAACATTGAACTAACAGAAGGATCGGATCAATAGTTCATTAGTTCAACTGTTGGACCAATTGGTTGAACCGACCGTATAATAAAAGATAAAATATAAAAATGATGAATATACCAAAAGTTTTGAGTAGGTACAAAAATAACATTTTTATGCTATGGTAGATTAAATAAGAACACACAAAAAAAATCACAAATTGCCTATTTTTTAGGTAATTATAAAATTTAATATAATATCAATAATTAACAAATAGGAATTGCAGATTGACATATATAATAATATTATAATAAAAAATACAAAAAAAAAACTTGAAAAGAAAAATTATAAAGCAATGAGAGAAGACTATTAGTACACTAACATTGTTGACAAGTTATTGCATATCGAAAAACACTAGCAAGAAAAGAAGTGGTATGCCTCTATAAAAGGTGAACCAAAGCGTTGGCTTGACAGCCTTAAGCCAACTAGCACTATTTTTTTGCCAGTTAGCACATTAGTTTAAGAGCAATGTTACGTGGACTTAAAAATTAGACTTGATAATCTCAACCATTGATTTCACTGTGGATCCCAACATTTATTGAGACCCATTATCTATTCAATAGTTAAGATTATAAAGTCTAATTTTTAAGTTCATTTAGTATTACTCTTAGTTTAAACATTTTACACCGGATTGGTTGAACCGAAGCAAAAGGTGAACCAAAGCAAAAGATGACCGGATTGGTTGAACCGTCCGGTTTACTCCGGTTTTGATAAAAATTTGTCCATTTTAATTGAGTTTTTAATGGTTGAATACTTAAGCGGTCTAATTCTAGAATCAGATCAGCCGGTCTAGTCTAATTCTGAATAACACTGCCTAAGTTGCCATTTCAATAAAGCATGTAGAGCTTCTTGATTGGCATCTTTAAATCACTACAAGAAATAGTGTTTAATAGCGTGAAAAATTGCCACTAAAAATTTTTAGTGGCAACTTTTTTTTATCGTCACCGAGTCCCTGCTATAAGTGTCACTAAAAGTCAAAAGTGACTTGCATGAAAACTAGTCACAAATTGATCATTTTTTTGTGGCGATATTAAATTAAGACTTTCTTAATCTTCCTCTTTTGGTGATCGAACCAATTTTCACTTCCTTCAGCTCCTAGACTTGTTATATTTAACGACTTCACTTGTTCGTCCTAACTTGTCTTAAATCCTATCACCCCAAGCCCTTTTTTTGACTTCTATTAGTGGGGAATGACGATTGCACCAAATCAAATACTCTAGTCAATACAAATGGAAAAACAAAAAAAGAACAGAACATCAAGAAAAACAATGTCCATCAGTATGTAATTCTGAAATTTAAATATTCATTCCGTCATTACACTTCCCATATCACCATACCAATAAAAACTCTAGGTACAACGATGAATGCTTCGGACATAATTATTACTACCATACAAACAGATCTATAATCATTAAAACCATAGAATTGAAACATAAACATAAACTTTGGTCAACTACATAGGAAATAACACCAAGTTTCTTTTGTTTTCATTTTCTTTCCTGCATTACATTTATTAGGCTTAGGTTGAAACGGTCACAAAAAGTGCGACAGCCAACAATATTGCATTACTTTAATGTCTAGATGTAAATAAAACAACAAAAAAAATAAAGATAAAGATCAGACAAAATGCACAAAAAAAAAAAGAAGAAGCAACACATAGAAACCTCATGGTAATTAGGTATCACAGACCAACAAATGCATGTCTATAAATTCACCAGTACCCTTAATCAAACAAACACAAACACAATCATACAAGCCAGCATGTTCTACTCAACAACTATGACAACCTTCCGTTAACTCAATTCTCAGCCAATAATTTCCCATAAGAAGCTCTACATTCCCAATAGGATATCCAACGTAACTCAGTGTCGAGGTGAAGTTTCAAGCTTAGTTGATATGCAGCTATACACCAACAGTATGACTCCACTAATATGTACACAACGACATAGAATTCTAGTAAACAAAAATTGAAAAAATATCTGATCTTTTATGCTCCACATGCTTGGTCCGGTAAAATCCATCGTGGATAATCTATAAAAGAAAACATAAGTGGTATTTATAGTAAATTAACATATTTGAAGCACAAATCAAGCAAGACATAGGGTTTTTTGGATCCCGAAAAAACAAATTAAGGGTTGGAGAGTGCCAAGGAGAAGAGGAGGAGACAACGGTTGATAATGGAGGGTAAGGTAGTGCTGAAAAGAAGAGGGGGAGGCAGCGGTTGGTGATGGAGGACTGGTGATTCATCATTAAAAGTATTATGACGAATTGCAATGTTTTTGAGTTATTATATTAATTATTCTTTGATATAATATTTCTTATGTGATTTATATTATTTTGGTAATTTTGCAGGTAAAAGAAGTGATTTGACGAAATGACTAGCTAAGTGGAGAATAAAGTAAAGTCAAGGGGGTTGAAGTGTAATAAAAGATTGCAAGTCAGAGAATGCCAGATGAAGTAGCACCGTTTTAATGGTTCAAGGCCGTTCGAATTCAAGGAGCAATGAAGAAAATTGGAGAAATTCCTGAGAGTTTGTACTTTTCAAATGGAGATGGTTCGTTGGAACGCAAGATACGATATGGAGTCCCACTGCTCAAACGATGAGGGGCCGTTTGAAAGCACAGGCCAAGTTTAGTTTCCGGTGAGTTTTCACCATTTCAATGACCATTCACCATTCGAATGCATGCTAGCCATTCGAACGTGCCTCCAAATTAATGCCCAAGTCATTTAGCCCTAGTAGAAGTCTTTAGCAATTTTTATTTCGAGTTTGCTTATTTGTTGGGTTGTGTATAGTTAGTAGGGGGGCTAATCTCTGCCTAGACACCTCTTCTTAGACTTCTTTATACTTTATTGAAGAAATAACTTATGGTGAATAAGTAATTCTTTTTTTATTCTATAGCTAGGGTATGGTTTTCATGATTGTACGTTGAATATTTTATGAAAGCAATTATATTTTTCTTGTTCTTGAATAATTTATCTTTTCAAATATTTCTCGATTGAATGAATGACTTTTATTAAGGTAATGTACTCTCTAAACTTATTTGATTAATTATTAACAAGATTGACTTTTTGGTATGATTAATACTCATAATTCCTTGCGACTCTACAATATTAGTTCTTAAATTCTAATTTTCTTTTCAATCAAAAATTGTTTTTCATAGTTATATTTTCCGGTTGATTACACTAACTTTGGAATTCAACTAAGATAATTACAATATAATTGCATGAATAAGATATTTGATTTACATGACTGATACCTAATCCCGAAACTAGAGAATAATCTTTTTCTATAACAAATTCCTTTAAATATGTTTTGTTTACAAATACTCAACTCTCTTTGATTGTTATTTATTTTTTCCTTCTTGAATCCAAACCAATTCCCTAAGGATCCATCTCGGACTACCGATTTATTAGTACTGTTGGCCATTTGCCCATGGGTGTACCATTTTCAAAGTCAAGCAACTGGGCAGTGCCGAAAGTATAGAGAAAGGGATGCAAAAAGTATTGGTGTGCTATGGTGGGTTTCGGTGAACTACTACTATGGGTTTGGGATGGAGGGCTCAGCAGCACCAAAGAAAAGAGGGGGAGACAATAGTTGGTGATGGAGGGTTGGGCAACTCAAAGAGAGAAAGAGAGAGAGGGGGGGAGAGGGAGGGAGATAAAATTACCTAGCGGAGGCTTTGGCTTGGCTATGACTCTGCTGGTAGTGGTTGGGCAACGACACAAAGAGAAGAGGGGAAGCAACGATGAGAGAAAAATGGGAGATTTGAGCATAATTAAGGAAACAGAGGGGAGAGAGATAGAGAGAGAGGCATGACATGAGATTGGGTAATATTTGGGAGAGATTTAAAGGGAGAGAGAGAGAGGCGTAAGCATAGGGGAGATTGGGTATGATTAAGGACAAAAGAGGGAAAAGAGAGACATGTGATTGGGGAATATTTGGGGGAGATTTGCTAGGAGAGAGAGGCGTGAGATAAGGGTAGATTGGGTTTGATTAGGAAAGTAGAGGAGAGAGAAATAGAGAGAGACACAAAAGATTGGGGAATATTTGGAGGGAGAGAGAGGAGCGTGATATAAGGGGAGATTGGGCATGATTAGGAAAGTAAAAGTGGAAGATGGTTTGGACGTGAAAAAAATTCATGATTGATCTTAACCATTGGGTTAAAATTCAGGATTTGAATTAAGTTTTGAGTTAAGTTTATGCCTTGAAAGATTTGAATTGTCTTGTCCCTTATTATTTATATAATAAAATAGAGTTGATTTTAAATTTTAGAGATAAAGAGAGCTCCAGATCGTTTTGAGACAAAACATAAACACATCTAATAGATAATGTAATCTCAACATAAAAGACGGTTCAGATCATTTCAAAAATTTTGATCTAACGATCTACAGTGAGTATTAAATTTTTTTTTTCCGCCCACCAACATTTTTTGACTGATGCCTTTATCCCTCGCGCCTCTCTCTTTCTCTCTCACTTCTATAATTAAGAAATCAAGCTTGAGAAGATGATCGACCAACCAAGTACTTCCCTCTTCTGTTCCTTTTTCTTCTTCTGCTTCTTTGGCTCTTTCCTTTCTATACATTTTTTCTTCGTGTCTGGTTTCCTTCTCTTTCTCTCAGATTATATCTCCTCTGATTTCTATCTGTTTTTCCTTTTTTTCCTTTTTTCACTTCTGTAATCAAGAAATATGCTTCCTTTTTTGGTGTAATTAGCCCTAATAATTAGGTTTCTCTCTCTCTTTACCACCAACTAATAGCACCACCGCCACAGCCATAGCCACCTCCTTTCCGTCAGTCGGAGCATCCAAGGACGAACCACCAATGTGACCCACCAGAACCACCAATGAGGTACTCTTCATCTCCCTCTCTCTCCGTTTCTCTATCTTCTTCCCCAGCTCTTTGTTTCTGTCTGTCTATGGTTCCAGCCCCACCCACCTCCATGCCATCGACTCCGCCCCCACCCATGCCACCACCCAGGATCCCCACACTGTAGCCCCACTCTATCTCTCTCACACACACTTACCGTCCATCATAGACACCACGTGTTCGACAAAATTCCTTAAAGACCACCATAGAACCCTTTTTGTCCTGCTTTCACATGGGCTATGAAAACTAGGGCCAAATGATACCACCCATCGAACAACATTCAACCCCTCGACCATGGCCACCCATCAACCACTAACAAAACCACTAGCATAACCCTGTCAATCATATCCTTGATTTCCACATATATCAATTCTGCCTTAATGAAATGTGAGCATCATTAGATTTTGTTGGTAATTTTTTTGATTTTTTGTACAGGGATCTAACACAGGTACCGACCATCAAGGATTACACAATCCAATCAATTCATTATGGTTGATTTCTCCCTCAATTTTTGTTTTGTTTTGTTTTCTTTTTAATTTTCTAAATTTTTTATTTCAATGGATAATGTTTTATTTTGGTGGAATTGGGTGGTTCAATGGCAGTGGTTTGATTTGATTTGGTTGATCAAATTTGATCTCATTTGGTTAATTTTTCTTACATTTTTTGATCTTTAGGTTAATGTTATTTTTTTTTTAATTTTTGGTCGAAATGCTGGATTTAGTGGTGTGATGCAATTATTCAGTGGTGTGATGCAGTTATGGCTATGAATGGGTTGTGTAGATGTTGGCGGTGTGAGAGAGGAAGATGAGGAAAAAAGTGGCATTTTCTACCATTTTTTTGATTTTGGTGTATGAAATTTCAATGTTTCACACTGGTTTATATAAAAACTTTTGAGTTTGATCCATTTGAGTGTCATGGTGTTTATTTATAATTTCAATTATTTGAAATGTTGACTTGTTGACCTCCTCCTGCAAACCAAAAAGTCTAAACTTAAAAAATAACTTGAATTAAACTAGGGGCTGTATTTGAAAGCATCTTTTAGGAAAATAAAATTTCTCAAATTTTAATTTAAAAATTCTTTGTAGGGGTTGGAATGGTGGTGGTGATGGTGACAAGTTTAGATTCTATGATGGTTTTGGGTTGAAGAGTTGGGAGGTTGAACAGAGGTAAATTTAGTTCATCAGTTTCATATCCGATAATAATTGCTCATTCATTTTTCTTTGCCTGTTCTCTCTTTTTTTTTTTAGTATTTAATCCTTTTAGTTGACATATCTTCGTTTTCATTGGCGACCGAGATAGAGGTTGCAAGTGAGTAAGTTGATTTACACATGCGTAAACGAGAAAATGGGGAACTATTGATATTGAGAAAAATCAAAGGAAAGCTGGTTACCGATTATGGGCACATTATGAGAAAATCAAAGTTGTTTTTGGTTGCAACATATAAGGAGACATTTTAGGGAGGAAATTTCGCATTTATGTTGGATAAGGAAGGTGGTATTCTCTAATTGTGCATAAATTTCGACTACCAATGAAGGAGAACCAAGACTCCTTAAATCATGCAATATTCGACAGTCAAGGAAGGGTAGATCACCTTACACACTCGACTTTTATTTCAAATGCAAACACCCTAAAAAAATGAGAGTTGCACACTCCAAAGATAAATATTGCAATATTGCGGAAAAAATGAACGGAATTAGTTGTGACCGGATCCCACTCTAAAAATGTTTTCCTTTTATTTTTCTTGAAACCTTTGTATATTAGACCGAAAAGGGGTAAGACACCAAATTTCTCCTAACTAGAACTTCAGAAATAATTTGTTTTATAATATTGGCATGAAGCATATTTCAAATGCAAGATATCAACATGGATATTATTTAGGTCATTCTTTTTAATCTGGGCAATTGCTTGCGATTTTTCCTTTGTGTTATATAGTACCTTCAGGCATGGGCAATAACTAGTACTAATATATTTCTCTATGTTTCAACCACGTGCCGTCTCAACCTTAGATTGGGTGGGAAGAGACTTCGCCTAGGCCATGCTTAGTGTCTTATCTTTGAAAAAACCAGTCCAAAATCCTAGCCATTGTCAAAAAAAAGAGGGGGAGACATCAGTTGGATATCGAGGGTTGGGCAGGGCCAAAAGAACAGCGAAAGAAAGGTAAAGAGAGGGATAGAGAGAGGCAAAAAAAGTTGTTGGGCTATGGTGGATTTTGGTGAACCATTGGTGTGGTTTGGGGATAGAGGGCTCGACAGTGCCGAAGAGAAGAGGGAGAGGTAGGGGTTGGTGATGTTGGGTTGGGCAGCATTGAAAGAACACACACACATACATAGAGAGAGGGAGAGGGAAAGGGAAAGGGAGAGATAAATTACCTTGCTGGATTGTGACTCTGCTGGTAATGGTTGAGCAGTAGCAGAAAGAGAAGAGGGGAATGCAACGACAATAGAAAGAGGGGAGATTTGGGCATGAATAGGGAATCAAAGGGGAGAGAGATAGAGAAAGAGGCGTGACATGAGATAGGAGAATATTTGGGGAGATTTGTGGGGAGTGAGATAGAGAGAGAGAGGAATGAGATTGGGGGAGATTGGGTGTGATTAGGGAAGTAGAGGGGGGAGAGAGAGGTATGAGAATGGGAATTATTTGGGGGAGATTTGTGGGGGAGAGAGAGAGGGGCATGAGATTAGGGGAGATTAAGAGTGATTAGGAAAACAAAAATAGAAGGTGGTTTAGGCGGGAAAATAAAATTTGAGATTGATCTGAACCATTGGATTAAAATTCGAAATTAATTTGAACCGCAAAAAGCTTTGAGATAAGTTTATGTCTTGAAGGATTTGAATTGTCTTGTCCCTTATTATATAAATATAGGTTATATATTTCTCTATGTTTCAACCACTAGCCATCTCAACTTCAGAGTGGGTGGGATGAGACTTCGCATGGGCCGTGCTTAGTGTCTTATATTTGTCAAAACTAGTCCAAATACTGGAAAAAGTAGAGAGTTGGGGTATGTTGATGGCCAACATAAACCTTAAGAGTCATATCTTTACGAATATGCTTTGATTTGATAAAGAAATTAGGCCTCAATGAGCTAAATGGCTAATGGAGTACGATGAAATATAGCCAATAAGATAGTTTAGTCATGTAGTGACAAGGCCAATGATTATATGAAGAGAACTTAATTCAAGTAGAAGGTACTACAAAAAGATTGAGATGGCCAAAGTTGGTGAAAACAGACAGAGAACTACAATTTTAAGGACAATATGGCCCTTGGAGAAACTTAAGGTGCACAACTGCACATGGCTTTGTTAAACTGTCTTAACATCATACTAGTAAGGTAGCAACAATTCTCATACTAAATATTACAAGTAAAGCATCGGGACTACCGTTTCACACCTAGATGATACTCTTATTTTAATACTCTATTCCCTATTTCTCTGGATATACGCTTTCTCTTCTCACTACTGGCTCCAACACTTCTCAAGAAGCAAATATACCTATAACCCAAAAAAATGTGTATGTGAAACAATCTACAATTTTATTTTGAAACATCATAATAAAGATGATTCCCAAGTACACATAGAGGCTATTACTGAATATTCTAACATCGCGAGAAAAACCAAACCAAACCAAAACAAAACATGCATGTGGAAGGCATAAGTCACATACCAAGAGCATTCTCCTTCATCTTGTTTGTGTGAATCTGGAGAATTTGTACATGACTATTTTCATTAGGAAGGCTTATCTCCACTTGGACTTCCAAATGCCCAAGTCTAAAACCAAACATCTATTAAAATAAGCATTAACGAAGATTTTTACTTTTGGAGAGTATCAATAAGCAGAAACTGCAGAGAAGTGAACGGCAGTGAAATAACCCGTTGTAGCATAGCCAAAATAAAATGAGAAACCCTATTCACCTTAAAAGTGCTTCATCGAGCAAATCCTTTCGGCTGGTCATTCTGATGAGCAAAATATTATTCAGAGACTCCACACCATCTATCTGAAAAGCACATTGTTGTTCCGGGGGTGGGAACCTGGTGTGCATCTTCTCTCATAATTATATACGTGGAGAAATAGATACTTTACCTAAAAAGGGGTGAATATGTTTTTCAATTTTAACCCAATTAAAACCTAAATTACAACAATTACCTCTTCTCATAAAGATATAGCAAATAATGTGAGAACTCCTTTAGTCACCTCAACCCACTTTGCACATGTTGATCGATTAAATTAATCTTCAATTAATTCATTCGTAATCAATCTCATGTTTATCCCAAATCCTAAACCCAATACACAACTATAATTGAATATATAGTCCATCAATCAAATCCACAAACATATAGTGTGCATGTGTGCTAACACTCACAAGTGTATACAATAAACAATAAAGAACACAAGTGATTTTTTGACGTGGAAACTCTCCTCGGTAAAAATCACAGGGAGGCTTATTGGTTCAACAAAGCCTAATCCATTATTCTCTAAGTCAATATACAAGTACTTAAAACTTATACGCCAACAAATATCATAGTTAGATGTTCCTTTCCTTGTTATCTTTCCACCAAAAGCCCTTCTTTAACGTCTAGTGTAGATTCACTTGGACCTTCCTGCCGCACGATTTTCTAAGCCTCGAGCAATCATGGGCACGTCAACGATTCTCGGTATGCACACATCAATGATTTTATCACCAACAAGATCTTCTTGTCCAAATTATGAGGTTGGGTAGAATCTCTAGTAGCAGTTTTTAGATTTAGGATCTAAGTTATGGTAGAAGCTCTCAAGGTAGAAAAATGATTTTTTCTCTTAGAAATCTTACAAGAGGCTTAGCTTATTTGTGAGAAAGGTTGTCCCTATTTAAAGGTTTAAAATAAGGATAGTCTTAGTAAATAAGAAAACTAAGATTCGCGAACGACTATTTGATCGGTAGGATGACAGTTGACACTGGAGTGAAAACCACGTTTCAAACCTTTCAAGGTGCTCACGGCTCGAGCAACCATGAAGGATCGCTCCAGCGAGCTCTATGTTGTTCCCCCATGGCTTTTTCCCTTCTAAGTCTCTAAGTCATCAAGAGACCGACTTAGCCAAGCCTAGTGAACATAGCTCGGTCCCTATCGGTTTTTGAAGCACAAAACCAAGCAAAAACTAATCCTATTGAGCACTAATGGGTGTTGCTCAA